TATATATATCCTATTTAAAGTGAAATAGGAGCGAAAAATCATACATATACACAGTTCTTGAATTAAAAGTCTTTAAGATGCTAAATTTAATATTATTTAGGATGTTAACTATCTTTCTTCATTCTTCTTACTGAATAAAAAGCTAGTTTTTTTTTTATCACCAAGTAATGCATGAAATTCGAAGTCATATTTATTAATTAAAAAATATCTCATTGAAAACTTTCTAACTAAATGAAGGAAACCAAAAATATCACGAATTTATAACGAAGGTTTATGTTTTTTTTAGAAGTTCCGGGTCGCTATGAACATAAATGGTGTAAATTTATGGCAAACTAGTCTAAAGAATGTAATGAAGAATTATCTAACATAAAACACATCCAAAATAACACAAATTTAATAAAAATAAAATCAAAACTAATCTTAAGTATCTATTGAAACTAACATAACAAATGAAGTTTAAAACAACAGAAATTTAATAAGAATGAAATCAAAACTAATCTAAAAAATTTAATGAAACCAACACAATAAATGAAATCTGAAATTGAACAAATTTAATAAGAATGAAATCGAAACTAGTATGAAAATTTAATGAAACTTACACCATAAATGAAGTCTAAAACAACACAAATTTAATACGAAGATTTACAGTGTTAGAAATTTGGTATCATTTATGATCCATAATGGAGTGTCTTGAATTTGCTACAACTTTAAATACAATACTAAGTACAACCACAATCGAACCTCTTTAAAATTTGGATTCATTTTAGTATGATTAATGTGAAGAATCAAATTAATTAAAGCGTAAGTATGGTTTGAGAAAGTATTTAACTATAGCTCCTGTGTTATGTGTATGGTACTGATATTATAAATCAACTTTGAATAGATTTTTCTGAGTTTCTATTTGTGATGCCTAATGAAACATATTTGTAATTTTTCTTTGGAAAAATTAAGAAATAGACTGAAATTTATAATTATTTTTCTTGTTGGGTAATATTATTTCTGCTAAGAGTTTAAGGAGTTAAAAATCCCCTACGTTTATCTCTCGTAAATTCCAGTAAGGCTTTTAAATACGTTAATCAAAAGTCAATCTAATTTGTAAAAATTATTTTGTATAAACACCTTTTCACTTTACGTATTTCGTGGCCCAGCGTTGCAGAAACAACACGATTCGTTACATAAGCGTTTTAATAAAATGTTCTGAATTCTACTACACTTTCTGGAACAACAATAACATATACTTGATAATATAAAAACTAAAAAAATACTGACTTAAAGAAAGTCGACTTCGTTACAAGTGCTGGAAAACAGGTGCCCATTCTCAAGACCTACCAGATATGAATAGCGAAAACAAAACAGATTTCATTCAAACATGTCTTTCACAAAACAGAGTTTTTTTTCTTCAAATTCCCATCTTGTGAATTTTGAGAATGGGTGCCTGCCTTCGAGCACTCGAAGCGTGTCTAATTTTTTCTCTTGATTATTTTTGAAGCTAGCAATTTCCCCCCATTATCAAGTATACGATAATATGGTTTAACTTAGTATTATATGGTTGAAGCAAATACGAAAGATTTTATGGCTCAACATGTTCCAAAATTCTTCACAATTTTGCCCTAAAAGTAACTTTGCCTAGATAGTCCTATACTTGAACTTATTTCTGGTTTTATTAAAGGAGAGCAAAGAATTGATGTCTAAAGTTTCCTTCTCGTTCCCTTGAGCGTTCTAGGCAGGGGGTGAAAAGAATAAAGACAGGAAGACACCAACTTCCTCAGGAAAATGATATCTTTATCGATTAATACGTTGAGGTACAGGAAAAAATTCTATTAGTTATATATTTGTATTTTGCGTGTGGGCGTCTGTTTGGTAGATAAAATATCCCAAGTGTTAATAGTAGTGTGTTAAGAGTATAAAGTTCAGACCATTTGATATGATTAAAAAAATGAACTGAGATTTAATTAAGAGAATAATTCAATGAAAATTCTAAAAGAAATAGAAATGACGCTCAAAAATAGTAAAGACTTAATCTTAAAATACAATGATATGTTACAATGATATGTTATACAATTGAACCTTAATTGTGTTCAAAATCAATAGTTCTTAATAAAAAACGACTATAACTGTCTCTATTTGTACTCTTTGCAATCAGAACACGCGTCTCAAGGTTATATGATTTCCTCACTATCTGCACTTTTTCCCTCTCCGTTACCATGGTTTCGGCAAGTTTTGCCTTTTCCCAAAGACAGACCTTTCACTAAGAAGTTGGAATGTACTGGCTGGGGGGGGATAATTTGCCAAAAACACTGTAAAGGAGAGGGGGAAGGAGTGAAGGGTGGAGAAATCCCGTAACTTTGAGATGCCTATTCAATTTAAAATGACAAGTAAATTTCAGTTTGGTGCAATGAGGAATTTGCAGACAACATTTAAAAACTTTAAAAACTGTATTACTAAATTGAACTTACGAACTTGCAATTCAAGAAAGTACTGCTCAACAAATGATTCTATGCACCGTTGAAAGTTAAGGAAAGACCATTGCTGTATAGGATTTAAGTAAACCATCGCGACTGCATATAGTTCCGTTTTATTTCGTAATCAAATTACGCAAATATTCCTTCCAAACAATATAAAAGCTTTTAAAAGTTAAACACGTCAGACAGAAATTTAATTCGTGCTATTTTTTACGATATACATCATAGAACTATTAAGAAAAGATTATAGTTTCGTAGTCTTACTGAAATCCTAGACTTGGCTACATATTTCGATAAACAAGGAGAACATTTGTGTTCCTGAAAAAGAAACAACTATATAACGTTGCAAGAGTATTGGATTTGATTGGATCCCTAAAATGATACGTCTTATGCTGACATGCCCTTAACAAATCGAATGCTAGATAAAGAATTGTTTTTACTTTTGTTTTACTGTAGAAGAAAATAGTCTGCAAGAAGCAATATTCATTATTCTTTCATCAGTTTCTTTAATTGCGAACTGAAAAAAATTACGATGTTTAGATATCATTTTTATTATTTAAAGCTGTGCAACGTCGTTTCAATAGTTGGCGATGTTGATATACGACCTTCGCATCCATTTGGCGTGCACTAAGATGCTAACAGTTTCTCTCCCTAGAAAGAATGGTTTTTTCTTAACTTATCTGAACGGAATGCAGCAACGGAATGCAGCTTTTTTTATTTTTCTGACTTATCTGAGGTCTTCATTGTACTTTTAATTTCATTTTTATTGTTTATTGCATCATAATGTGTTACAGCCATTGTTTAATATTACATATTAAATGTTGCGCCCAAGTATGACATTTGATCATATACCGAATTCTTTTTTTAAAAAATGAGATTATTACTTTTTTTCTTCTTAATGTAATAAAAAGTTATTCATTTATTAATTATTAAGTGTTTCGAATATCATTCGCATAGACATACTGAGATTTTTATCAATAGTAGTGGAATAGGGTGTGTACATCGCGATGGGTCTAATCATATACTGCACCACTGTCATTAAGAGAGTTGCTGTACATTTTAGTGCTTGTGTAGATTTGATTGAGCTTGTGTGCAGTCTGTTAGCCTTTTCGAAAGCTTTTTTTCCTTTATTTTCATTTTTTTTCTTCATTTTTTATTTTTTATTTTCATAATACTTTTTAAAGTATGAATAATTTGTTTGACTTGGCGATATACGATGCTACAAAAGAGGGGCAAATAGAGGAAGTGGTTTAGTTTAAAGTGTCGCAGTTTTGGCAAAATATTTACTCGGATGGACGAAATAGGTGGATTTTCTTTAATGTGGAAGAATATTTTTAAAAGTTATGCAATTTTACTTTAACTACGGCTCTTTTTTTTCTTATTTTAATATTTTACTATTTATCACATAATTTGTGAATAATATTTGAATGGAAAAAAAATTGCATATTCACTTGTCATGTGTTATGTTGTAATAGACATTATGTTAAATATTAATATTAATTGCTAAGATATTCATTTATTCACTTGCTTATTCTGTAACTTTTTATACTAAAGCAAATAGCTAATGCTAAAATTGATTAGTCTTGAAACTTTGCTATAGGTACTAATTGAAATAAAAAAATGCTATATATTAAAATGCAAAACGAATGGAAAAATGGTATGCTAGTTTGATTTAGAGAAATGTGAAAGAATCTATTATTGTCGCCAATAATGCTTTGCTAATTTTAGCGATACGTTGTTGATATATGTTCGGTGCTTGGAGCTTGACATGTACTTGGCGCGTACTTAGATGAAAAGAGGCTTCCTCCTTAGGGATTTGCAATTTTTAATATGAAATCAAAATTGACTCTTCCCCTTACACTTTTCCTTTAAAATTATTCCACTCAGTAATCGTTCACGATCAGTTTAAGAGCACATATAGTATACTTATATCGCAATTGGCGATTTTAAGCAAAATAAATATAGGAGTACCTATAATTGTATAAATTTATGTGATTTCAATTTTTGAAGTTATCTTTCGAGTATTTTAGAATGGAGAGTAAATCATAGTGAGTCAGAAAACAGTAATAAAAAAGCCTAGTTTTAAAGAAATAAGGAGATATTCTAGATATATTGCTTAATAATAGTGAATGAAAAAATTGCATTTGTCTAACCTTTGAATAGAAAAAAACTCGGATGTTCCTCAATGAGATAAATACCGTTAAACATTCGCTTATACTAATGTTAAAATATCTTTAGTTAAAAATTAAAATATTTGGAATAAAATTTACAATGTATTTTTATGTCATTTAAAAAAAACATCCATTTTTATATATCACAGAAATAAGTTGACAATATGCATCTATAATATAAGTCATTTATTTAAGTTACGAGGTTATATAAGTATTTATATATATTACGTTAAAATAAATGATACAAATCATAAAACAGTACCATAAAATGGAATAATTTTGTCCCAATTTTCCTTTTTTAAATACATTTAAACATATTCATCCTCTTTGCATATGTTTTACAAAATTTTTCACGAAACAGAAAAATTAACGAAATATTTAATAAATATTTCACAATTATATGTATTTTTTAAACTTTGTTCTCTTTTCATAAATATTATACTTTTAATGAATACTTTTAATGAATATACTCAATAAAATGTGACTTTCCTAGTTTCTTTTTCAACAACAGTTTTAATTGACTGATTTCGTTCAAAGTGTGCATTTTACTATATAAAACTTTCTTTAAAATTATTAAAAAAATATGTATCCTTTACAATTCAAACTTTTTTTTTACTATTATAAAATTAAATAATAAATAATTAATAAAAACTATTTTTTGTGTCGAATTATCTTTGAACAAACAAATTTTATAATTGTCTATACAAATTTAATAATTCGCTGAAAAGTTATCATTAAGGACGTCAAACTTTGGACCACTCTCCTGACACAACTAGGGAGACTCTACTTTCCAGATTGCGTTTTACATGTTAAATAGGGGAGGGGGGGTAAGAAATAGAAATTTGCAAAAAAAAGAACAGAAAGAGCGTTTTTGTGTCTGATTTCGTAATTTAGAATATCGTCTGCACTAATAAGCAAATTTGAGGTTATCCCTTTAAATCATTAAGATTTTGACCTAGTGCGTGAAGATTCGATCCATAAATACAAAAATTAGGAAGGCATATTGAATAACATATTACTTTTATCGATTCTTTTATTCACTGATCTATATAAATAAGGCTTGTACGCAATGGTGTTCTGCTTACAAAATGATACAAATTAACGTTATTCAGTAAACATGTTCACCACGTCTTACTAGTAGTATCGACATGTTGATAAAAGCATAAGTAGTATATTTTCATTGACTACTCGCTACTTAATGTTTTATATGTATCAAGATTTCAGAAATCTCAAAATTTTAACAAGGGCATCTTAGTCTACAAATTACGTGCCCGCATGGTACTTATAAATACTCAAGATTTTTCTTCGAATCTGTATTAATGGAAACATATAATTGTTTCTGTTCTTAAAATGTCGGAAAAATTGAACATTACTCGCATCAGCACTTTTATTATAGGTATAAATCAAAAGTGTTAAGTAATACATATGAATAATGAAGTATTAAGCATTGTTAATAAAATAAAGAAGTATCGAATAAGCACTGTTCTGCCGACGCATTTGGTTGTGTAAAAGAAAATTAAAAAATAATAAAGTAGTTTTGTTTTATAGATTCTTAGTTATAAAATTAAATTTGGTAACTTTTAGATCAAATATAAATTTTTTCTCCCTTCTTTTTTTTTATTGTCTGATGATTGCACATTTTGTCAAAATGTGAGGAGTATTCCCTGTTTAAATATTTACTTGCCCAGCCAGGCATTTAAGAATACAAAATCTATACCCAAATGGAATTTCTACACGCCCCAGTTATGTCGACTGAGATAATTTTTGAAGTCCTGATATGTATGTGTATTTTGTACGATGTATTACCAATGTACAGGTTCCGTATGAAGTTAACAAGAAGTTGTGTTAGGATTTTTAGGATTGGATTTTTTCCTTCTATTGAGCTGTAAAGAAGGAGATACTAGTTCATTTTGTCTTAATTTTTCATTATTAATTTTACATTTTAAGTTTAAAAAATAGATATTTTAGATACGTTTGAAAAAAAAGTATGGGTTTTAATAGATAATAAAGGGGGAGTTTAGATAATATAACGTAAAATAAGTGTTCTATTGTATAATCAATGAGGAATTTATATAATGTCTACAGTGAAATAAAGGTTTTATTGTAGAATAAGGGGGGAATTTAAATTATGTAACGTAAAATAAGGGTTTTATGGTATAATGAAGGGGAAATTAGGGTTACATAATATAAAATAAGGGTTTTAATGCCTAATAATGAGGGAATTTAGATAGCGTAAAGCAAAATAAGGGTTTTATTGTTTAATAAAGGGAGAGTTTAGATTATATAAGGAAAAATACGGGATTTATTATATAATAAAGGGAAAATTAAGATAATGTAAGGTAAAAAAAAAAGTCTTAGCGTATTCTAAAGATAAGGTCTTTAATCTATAATAAAAGGGGAAATTATCAAATTTTGATAAGTGTTTCATATTTATTGGTCACATCTAACGTTTATACAGCTGTTTAAGTAGCTAGTAATCTAACTCTTTGAGTAAAAGTATATAAGTAAGCATAGAAATATGAAAGGGCTTATTTATGAAACAGTACATGAGTAAATATATAATTATAAAAAGCCTATTTTGGAGTGATGACTTGCCTTTTGACCTGCCATTGTGTAAGTGGTTGTGTCTTGGTGCCCAGCTGCCATGGCCGCACTCTGCTGTTTTCTCCGGTTGGAGCAGGTGTTACACACCCACACCGACCTCTGAAACGATACAAAAGAGATTTTTAATTATAATTAAACATTCTTTTTGATTAGCAACAAATAGTACTTAGTAAAAAGTATAGATTTTTTATTTTTTTGTATAAACTTGACTTTCATAAGTGACGATCGCTAAAAAAAATTCTATTTTTTGACATTTCTTAACTTTCTTTTCTGTCATTTCTCATTTTTTAACGCCAACCAATTTTTATGATATGAAATTAATTGCTAGCATAAACAAAAACATAATTGTTTATTAATTTAAAATAGCTTTATCATTCATGATTGGCTAATGTGTTTTTACACATAATTATATCAGTAGGGATCATTTTTATTGACGCTAAGTTTTATTCTTCGATCCGGTTTTCATGATACCAACGCAAGTGGTATTTCCTCACCAAGAATATGACACTGACTAAAATTAAAATCGTTTGCGAAAAATCATGTATACCTTCTATAACATTTTGAAGTCAATGGAGGAAATCCCTAAGAAAGACTCACCTTCATTAACGACCATTTTACGGTGGAACAGAAGATGGTTCGCTCCCGAGAGGTTTTACTGTGTTATCTTTAGAAATTGCAAGTATTTTAAATAGACAATACAAATATTGGTTACGTTTGAGTTTTATTTAGCATCTTATAATAAATTCCTTGCTTGGTTGGCTCTAATGCCACTTGCCACACGGGCAAGCCTGCTTGGGGTAACCGAGCAAATTTTAGGCAGAGTGTGCGTTTCTTGTTTTTCATTGGCGCCATTTATGTACCAAGAATTCGACTTCCGCTACACCATACGTCGCACCCGTTTATAGGGCGGACCCATTCATTCATCCACAGATCGTAATTTTGACCTGAATCAGAGAACGATCGTTCTCCAATCCAGTACCCCAGTGGTATTGATTTGTTATGGGAACATGGAGGACTTTTGCGACTCGACAGATTTAACGTGCATCAGTCACTTTACTACACGAGGAGTCTTCGACCGGCGGGGATCGAACCCACGAATTCTCGGACATGGGCCCAGCGCCCTACCGACCAGGCTATCCCGGCCTGCATAAAGTCCTTAAGGAGAGTATCCCCCAATCAGGGTCTTGGGGTTTGGCCTTTGGAGCTGCAGTTTTACAAGCAACTACATCATAAAAAGAGCCAAGCGAAATCTGGCTGTCTAGAAATTTATTTTGGGATTCTGAAAGGGAATCGGTTACAAAAAATTCCTTTTCGTTATCGAACGTCATCCAAAAGGGAAATTTTAACAGATGGTGTTACATAGACTGCTTGGAATTTCGGGGATTTTCTTAATGAGTATATTTCTGAAAATTATGACTCACTAAATTCCAAAAATAATATTTTAATTTGAAAATTGACTTTTTATGACTTTATTTATAAGAAAAAGTGATTGCTACGTCTTAAAATTAATGAGCGAAATTTATTTTAAGCTATGAATTAACATAGAAAGATTTGTTTGAGATATTCTATATTACATAAATATACATGTTTATAAAATATTCTTAGCGTTCAAAAGGCATATTAGTTTTAAAAAAAATTTACTATTGATGAACATCAATTTCTGATATTTGGGAAAGATATTTCGTACATAGAAAATTAAAAATTGCAAAATTATTGTAACTATTCCAAATATGAATTTCAACTATTGTTTAAATTCATATTTGAAATAGTTCTAATAATTTTGCATTCAATATAAGGTATAAAAAAAATCATGCTATTTCGGGTAAATGAATCAAATAAAGTGTAAATAGCAATTTTTTATTGAATTTTATAAATACATAGCTAATATTTGTTAATTATAATTTAACAAATATTAATTTTGTAAATTAATTCATTATTAAACATACTAATCAAGTTCGTTTCTTAAATGACAGGATAACTATTGCTATCTAAACTATTACAATATCAATAGAAGATATAATTCCAGTAAGTTAAGCAATATTTCAATTTATTATTGATTTTTTTTGCTCCCTTTAAGGTATGAATACTCTAAATTTGAGAATTTGAAAAATCAGAAGAGAAATATTAATTTGTATGAAATAAAATTAACATGGTGCATGTTTCTTTTAAAGAGAGCAATTATAAAATATAATCTTTCGAAGCATTACACATTGCAAAAATAATCAGAATGAAATTGATTACAGTAATCACTCTTCAATTAAGATAGTAATTGCGGTAGTGAATCACTCTGAATTCAGTATTATATGCAATTATGATTATTTGCAATCAAAATAATAAATTTAGTTAAGATTAAATGCGATCATAATTGTATGAAATGGAAGGTTTATTATTGGTTGTAATCTCTGCTTTATACTATGTATATTCGTGATTATTATTGCTTTAATTGTAAACTATGATTGCTAATAAACATGATAAAAATTTTGATCGTTAATCATTATGGCTTGCAATCACGATTACAAGTAATCAATTGTAGCAATTATAATTATTTGCTCTGTTACTTCAAAAAAAGTAACATATTTCTGTTCATTAATGACGATAACAACTTGGAATGCATAATTTCAACTTTTTGACAGTAATGTTATCCTATCTCTAGGAAATTATAATGCATAAAGACATAAATGAATAAAAGTGCCTTGCAACATGATTTATAGAAATGCAATTCTCAATTAAGCTTCACTCTCTTTCTTCTTATAAGATTATAATCTTAAGTCCAATGACAAGATAATGCAAATGCCATTCTTGCAAGATTAAAATCACTATTTAATTGACAAAGTGAATTGCAAATGGCTTCCAATTGAAAACAAGGGAGGAATTTCATTGGTTATTGGGAGTTAAATAAGACTTATCTGTCTGGAGATGAGACAGTCTGTTGTTTGAAATGTTTAGAATTTTATTAACCATTTAAGGTATAGTTCTAAAGGTAAGACAAAAAAATTTACAATGCATTTATTATTAGTTAATTTTCTCACATTTTTAATTCTTCTCTCTTTTACTTTTGAAAGATGCAAATTAGAACATTTGAGACTGTTTCATTTAAAATGCTATGGTAAATAACTTTGCCTTTCAAAATAGCGCTCATTTTAGAAATGTACTATACATTCTCAATTTTTTTTTAATAATTATAGAATTTACACAGACCACAGTGTTTGATTACCGCATTGTTAAAAAATGTCACCTGTAGACTACGGTCAGTGATCAGCAAAAAGTACACTAGTTACTGCCCGTAAAAATAAAATTATGCTCATAAAGCTATTTATACTCTAAAAATACAAATCTGCCAAAGAGTGTTTTTTCTCTCGAAAATTAAATTGCCCTTGACAGAAAATTAGCATTATACTCGTAAATGTTATCTTCAGTCCGGGCGTTGTTTTAGACTCATGCTATTGGTTTGTGTGATCAAAGCGAACGATTCAAAGTATACGTCAGTGAGTGAAAGAGTCCGTGGTCATTAATGTGAGAGTTCGTTCTCCGGTGCAGCGGTTCCATATCTTTGGCACCGTGACCAAACATAGCACCGCTTTTGATTGAGATTTCTACATCCATTTTAGAAAAAATAAATTTAAACAATTACTTCGTAACTAAGTACTCATTTCCATAAAAATACAAAATGAATCTTACTAAATGCTTAACGTATAGCGAACTATAGAGATGTCAAAGTAAGAAGCTGAACAAGTTCACTGCCCACTATCATTTAATTCATTTTTGTTTGCACCATTCCTATTTTCCAATTCTTATTCCTGTCCAAATGGAAACATATTTCTATTGGCTGAATCTATAACTGATTAATCATTGATGTACTTTTATTGGACAGGCAAGTGAAGTGGCGTCAGTCTTTATTCAACTCTACTTAAATTATTACTTAAGACAACAAAATGAATCAAAATAAATACAATGTGACGTAGTGTGGGGCATCTCGATCGTTGTTGAAACACGGCATTTGTTTGCGTTAGAAACTCTGTCCTTTCCATTCTATTTTGAGTAAGCCAAGCCCGTCAAGTATCAATTCTTTTAAGTGACACATTCTATATTCTTACACAAGAATTCTTTCCCTATGATTTTAATTCCATCACACTATATTTCTTACTTAACACAACGACGAACACAAAGCCATGTGGAACATAAACAAACTAATTATGCTTCAAAGTTGCCAGGTACACAAAACTAAAATATGTCGAAGTTCGAATAAAATACATAAACAAATAATAAATCTAAGTTAAGTAATAGTAGACGAGAAAGAATTATATTTCAATAAATTCGGTGCGTGACATGACGCAGTATTTAACTATATTAACGTTAACTGACATTCTAACTTATCTGGAGAAACTAAGCTTAACTTTAACGCATCCATTTTGCTAATAAACGATCAGATGTGTGAATATACGTGATCACGTGTGTGGATATACGTGATCGTCTTCTTCTTGAAAAGCAAGTACAAGTTTAAATTATTTAACACAACTTAAATGTTTGCTTAACACAACGTAAAACACTAGAGTTCATGCTGCCATATAAGAGAAATATATGCATAGATAATATTTCTTTGCATCGCGCTTTTATCTTTTGAAAATTTTAGAAATCTTCAAAGTCTTAGTATCTATATATTTTAGAACAACACTGAGGAACAGTTTGATTTAACGATGCGAAGAAAAATAGCGACTTATTGTTGTATTGATCATTATGTATAAAATATATAAAGGATCTTTGTCTTGTTTTAGAAATTGAATGCTTGAAAGACAATATTTTTAGTATATATGATAAAATCCCTAATCAGTATAACACTTCAGTATAAAATATCTTTGAGTAGAATGGCAAAGGCAATTAAAAGCCTTCTCGTGCATTGATGATAACTAATATTATCTTTGAAGCTTCACCGGGAAATTGTTATTGAAATGATATCCCATAACATCATTCGCGTAACCATACCAAATATTTAACAACACAGTAAAATCCTAACTCTATGAATAAATTGACCACCGGAAGTGTCTTATTGTGAAATGGTTCGCTATAAAGTGGGCTTTTGTATAGCTTCGAGTGATGTTTCA